CAGCAGCAGCAGCAGCAGCAGCAACGCACGCGCCAAGCACAGTCGAAATTCGCTTACAGATGTTAGAGCGTGTAAATGTCGCCGCCAAATGAAACAAAAAAAAACCAAGCCTCGGACCGCTGCCGTGCCCAACGCAAACTCAACTCGACGAGGCCGCCGATCGGAGCCGACCAAAGTGGAGGAAGAAGAGCGCGTTGCAGCGCGCGGCCATGCAAAACAGACATTACTCTCCCCCCCAACACACGCGCCTCCTCCTCATCCTCACACCACCAAGAGTCTACACTGCTTGCTAGCCTGCTCGCTCGCCAGGCTCACACCCATCAATGTCCGCAAAAGACGCTCAGACAGAGCAACCACCCAAGGCGGACGCAGAGCAGCCTCGCGAGCCACAGTCGCAGCCATCCTCGCCGCCCTCCCAGCGCTCCTCCTCCCCACAGCTCAAACCGACAGAGTCCACATCCAGAGAGGTGACTGCAAAGTCGCCTCCGCACCACTCCGAGGATGCATCATCCAGCCGTAAGCGCGAACGCGAGGGCAGCGTCGAACCCTCCCAAATGACGCCCTCGCGCGTCACCGAATCCATCCCCGCCAAAAAGAACCGCCTCGAGGACTCGCTGCAGGAGGAGGACGATGACCCAACCGCCGAACAACCAGAGACCGAAAAGGTGGGCCACATCCGCGAAAAGGTGCACCAGCTCAGCACACACGAAATCAAGGCTGCCAAGCCCGAAACCGACAACAAACCCGAGGACGACAACGTTGCGGCAGCTCCTTCGCCCTCGGCATCCAAAGACAACACAACGGCCGCGCCAGCCAAGGACACCGACGCACCCACACGAACACAACCCACCTTTTCCGCTTTCAGCTCCAAGTCCTCCCCCTTCAGCGCAGTACCTTCCTCCTCGGGATCGTCCGGCGCCAAGTCCGGATTCTCGGCCTTTGCAGCCAGGAGCTCGTCCCCTTTGGTCGGGTCCGGCATCAAGCCCAGCAGCCTGGGTTCCAGCATCGGCGGTCACCATTCCGAATCTACCTCCGCCTCCTCCTCCGCTGCACCCTCATCCTCAACCTCGGCGCCTGCAAAGCCCATTGTCAAAGGCTCAACGTTTGGATTTGGTGCATTTGCTGGCGCTAGCCCATTGGCCAAGCCCAAATCTCCCGCTCCCACAGCGTCTCCAAAGGAGGCAGACAAGGCCGAACCGTCGGACGATAAAGCGACGTTCGAACAAAAGCTCCTGAGCGAAGATAAAAATGCGGTGGCTGAGACGAAAGCAAAGCCACTGCTCGAGGTCAGCGAAGAAAGTAAGTCTCTTCATTCACATCCCCTTCACCGTTACATCACGCTGACTTTTCCGATTTTGCAGCCAAAACGGGCGAAGAAGACGAGGAGACCATCCACAGCATCCGTGCAAAGCTCTACACCATGGCAGACGACCAGTCGTGGAAAGAACGCGGTACGGGCACTCTGCGCGTCAACGTCCCCAAGCACTCGGCCCGCGACAAGGCAAGGCTCGTAATGCGCGCAGACGGCGTGCTCAGAGTCATCCTCAACGTCTCCCTCTTCAAGCGCATGAAGTGCGAGCTCCACGAAAAGTTTGTCCGCATCGTCGCCTTCGAAGATGCAAAGCCCGTACACTACGCCATCAAGGTGAGCTCAACCCCTCGTATGCGCAACGAGACTTGGCGTGCACCAAAAGCTAACCCTTGACATTTCTATCGCTAGATGAGCAACCCAAACAACGCCGCGGCTCTCATGGACGTGCTCGACGAATTCGTACTCGCACCCGACGCCGCCCAACAGGCGTGATCCCATCCGCAATTGTAGCGCACATCTCTCAATTTATACACCACGCTCCAACTGGCTTCGTGCGGGAAAACCTGGCGCCCGTCCTCGACTCTTGCTGGCGTCACAGCCTCCGATGCCACATCTTGGGTTCGCGTCGCTCCGCAGCAACGATGATGAGTCCCGTGGGTCACGACCCGAAAGGCTGGCCCGAATCGACTGTTGTGCTCACGCTAGACCAGTTCAGGCTGCCAACATCCCAGAGCAAGGCACATCAAAATGAGCAAACTTCTTTCGATTCCGATTCCGATCATTGTTCGTGACATCACGACTTTGACCTGAGCGCAGTCGGTTCACTTGGCCATCTCCTCAAGTGCATCCAGCAGCGCAGCGGCACTCCAGGCCTGAGTGGCGCACGAGTCGGAGCAGTGAGCGCCGTCGGCATTGGTGAGCTCGGGCAGGCCTGCCCATGGCGAGCTACGAATGTGCTGTCTGTGCTCAAGCATCAGCGTATTGATGCGGTGGTTCATCACCGAGCGCTCGACGCCAGCCTTGGCACCAAAGATGGCCACGGCTCGCAGATAGTAGCCGCGCAGCCACACCCACTCGGGACCATTGTGGTAATTCCACCCGCAAGACGTCGATGCATCGTCCGTCTCGCGCTGGTCATAGTTCGGACGATAGTTCCAGTCCGAAGAATCCAGCGTCTTCATTCCCAGCGGCCCGACCAGGACTTCGCGTGCCTTGTTCAACGCGTTGCACGCGTGCTCGGGCTGGAACAGCTCGGGAGCCACGCACATGGCGATGGGGAAGTTGGAGCGGAATTGGTAGTCGGCCCACTCGCGTCCCTTGGACGACCCGTACACGTCCTTGTAGATTCCACGCCTGTTGACGAGCTTCGGATCCAAGTCGTAGTCCTGGTCCTCGCTGGCGTCCAGGGGAACGTAGTATGCGCGTTCGAACGACTTTTGCAGAAGATCGGCCCATTGCTCGTAGGTGACGAGCGTCTTGTTTCCCTTGACCACGGCCTCAACGCCCTTGGCCTCCTTCCAGACGCCGCGCTTCTGCAGGTCAACGATCCAGGACAGCGTACTCTTTAGCAGCGCCGTGATCTCGATCGCGGCTCCGTTACGCGGCGAACCTGGCACTCCTTTGTTGCCCGCCTTGGCTGACGAGCCATTCTTGTCTTGCCACGTTCCGCAGTTGTGCTCGTTGCCGCCGAAGATGATGCCGGTCTCCCAATCAACATCGACGTCGATGTTGANGAGCCATTCTTGTCTTGCCACGTTCCGCAGTTGTGCTCGTTGCCGCCGAAGATGATGCCGGTCTCCCAATCAACATCGACGTCGATGTTGAAGCCCTCGGGATGCATGTCGTTGTCGATCGCGGGACCAGCGTTGTACTCGCGGAAGTGGATGCCGGAAGCGTGGCGCTGCAGGATTTCCTGGATCAATTCTGCGACCGTGCTCTTGTGAGCGTACGCCTTGGCGTCGTCCCACGGGACCCACTCGTCGTCGAGCGGGAAGCGCCGAGCCACCTTCTCGCTGAGGATGCTTTCGCCTTTGGGTACCATCTTGGTGTAGTCCTGCACGTTCTGAGCAAAGAACCACGGTCCGTCTCGGCAGTTGTATCGCGGCGTTCGGCCCGAGTCGAGCAGATTCGGGATCATGCCGTGCTTGAGTGTCGAGCCGAACGCAAGAATGTGTTCGCGAGCCGCCTCAAACATTCCGGTGACGAGGTAGAGGCCACGGAGGGAGATGAAGACGTCGCGACCCCACAGCCTGGCCCAGGAAGCAGCGAAGAACGGCAGACCAGCGGCCATCGAGGCCACCTGCTTCTCAGGCCAGAGCGAGGCGGACTTGACGACACCGTTCATCTGCACCGAGCAGAGGGCGAGCGCCTTGATGAAGTCGTGGCCGTCCTTGATGATTGGGGACATGCGCGTGATCACCCTTCGGACGGCGGCGTCATAGGCGGCTTTGATGACCATGGCAAAGTACTTCGGCCTCATGAAGTTGGGTGCGGTGCGTTTGATCAGATCAAAGCGCTCGTCTAGCCATTTGGCCAGCTCGCCAAGGCGAGGCAGCACGTTGGTCTGCTTCTCCAGCCTCTGGTGAACGTAGTCAAGAGCCCAGGTACCGTCTCGCAGGTGCGCGCAGAGCGGGTGACCGAGGTCGTTGGACTGGATGACTTTGCGCAGAACTGCCATCCAGCCTTCGAGGCCGCAGTAGACCATGGGCTCGCACTGAGGGATGGTGTAGACGCCGTCGTTGCCGCCGGTAACGTCCTTCTCCTCGCCGTCAGCACGGTACAGGACTGCGTTGAGGTCGACCAGGTCGAGGTTGGCGACGGCTTCGTCGGCGCCCGAAAGGCATCGCGAGTCGATGTCCGCATCGATGTTGTCCATCTCGGTGGCAAAGAGCATGACACTACCGGGAGGGAAGAAGTCGGGCACGACGATCTCGGAGTAGCGCAGACGACCTCCATCCTCGTTGATGCGGACCTCTGGCTCTGCGAGATCGATGAGCTTCGACGGAAGACCGTCAAGGTACTCTGCATCCTGCGGAGCCTCTGTGCTGGTCACCTCGAGTGTCTTGCCCAGAACATAGGTGACTCGCTGTCGATCGAGCTTGAAAGGACCGGCCTGGCCGCGATCGCGCGAGCCCTTGTGGAATGCAGTGTGAGCCAGGCAGACGAATCCCTTGTGCGTCTGTGGGTGCACACGGTGCATGAGGATGTAGTCGTTTTCCTGATGCACATGTCCCTCGGAAAAGCCGTTGCGGACCATCTCGACGTGGAGATGGTTGACAACGCGCTTGATGGCTCCGATGCCACTTTCGTCCGCCTTGGCAACGGGTCGGTAGAGTCGGCTCTCCTGAACCACATCCAGGGTCTTTGGGTAGAGATCATCAAAGCCTTTCGTACTTCCGATGGCAGACCAGGAGAAGGCGACGAGTGCGCCCATGGTGATGGCGTCTTCGGTGGTGCGCTTCATCGTGGGAGTCTCGTTGTCGTGCGTGACATCCATGAAAAGCGCGTGAGGGCTTGATCCACCGAGCTGCTCAACGAGGCAGTCGGCGTCTTTGAGACCCGCTTCGGGCAGAGAGATCTTGCCGGCGGTCGTGAGGCAAGCACTGTCGACGGATCCGATGGGCTTGTTGACGCCAAAGCGGTAGAGCAGACGACTCTCTTCCTTGGGGTCGTGGCCGTTCTCCATTTCGCGGATGAGTGAGTTGATGCCGAGGCGGCTGACGAAGTGGACGTCCATCTCGGCGCTGCCGGTGAAGAGTTCGGCGCAGACGTACAGGTTGGGGTTGACCCTTCTGGCGATGTCGAGGAAGTGCTCTCCGACGTGGATGGGGGTGGAGTGGCAGTTGTCGATGCGCACGGCGTCAAAGTTGGCAGCAAGGAGCTTTGTGTAGTCTTCCATGTGCTTCCAGAGATAGGGCGAGTCTTGAGGACCGGAGCCGTACCTGAGCTTGACGCAGTCGCCCCAAACGATGAGCTCTCGTCGGAGGTAGACGCGAGATTTGTTGGAGGCGAAGTCCTCGAGCGGATTGGCTGCCCAGATCCAGCCATTGTTGGCGAGGGAGAGCTCCTTGGGATCGCGTCCGGCAGCGTCAGGGTGCTTGGGATCGAGACGAGTGAAGTAGGGCTCGAAGAAGGGGCTCTGTTCGGAGATCTTGCCAAGCTTGGGACCGTTGGGATCGAGGCGAGTGAATTTGACGCGACCCTCGATGTTGCTAATAATGGCTTTGACGTCGTCATCGTAGGTGGCGTACAGAGAGGCGTTGATTTCGTCGACGATCCTTGCGAAGAAGTCGACACAAGCTTCGTCGCTTTCGATGCTGTAAACGGCCTGAACGATTTCGAGTGCCTTTGCGGCGTCGACTGTGGTGGCGTATCGATCGGACAGGGTCATCTCGTTCGACACGGCCGAAGACCTGACTTTGGCTGCAATGGTCTTGATGGCGCCATCGGAGAGTTGTGAAGCCGCCTTGGAGTTGGTCTGGCCCTTTCGGGAGGCAATTGCTTTGGTGAAGCTCTCCTTGGCTGCCTTGGTGTCGATGACATAGAACTGCCAGAGGTTGAGGGGAGCCAAGACATGCTGCTTGACTGCCTCCATGAGCTTGGCGACGTCGGCATCGGAGCGCAGCTCTGCTGGGACGTCGTAGTCTTGCAGACGACGATTGAGCTCAAAGAGAGCCTTTTCGAGCTCATCGGCGGGTTGAAGGTGTGGGGAGTTGGCAGGGCTGTATGCAGCATCCGGGTGCTGGTTGAGCCATTCGCTGTTGTGAGCTGTGTGATTCCAGACGACGTCGCTCATGCTGAGGATGCCGTGCTTGGACTTCATGTCGGCCAGGACTGCCTTGAGTTGTTCGACGCGCCCGGCCTTCTGCTTTGGACCCTGGAGCTTTTCGGGGAAGAGGTCGTGGGAAAAGTCGTGCTGGTCGCCGATCGAGTAAGGGCTGTTGCTGGCGCCGCGCACGTTGAGGGGAGGGAAGTGGATCATGTTGTAGCCTGCGTCGCGGGCCGAGTCGAGATGGACGCCCCAGTTGGAGAGGGGGCCAGCCCACTTGGAGACGAGGGTCTGCAAGACGATTCCGTCGAGAGCGAGGAAGTCTGAGGTGGAAGTGACCGCACCGCCGCCGTCTTTGGAGGAGAGGGCCTTGCATGCGTCGTCGAGGATGGGCTTGCGTACGGCGACGTTGAGGATGGGGTCTACGTTGAAGTGGCCGCTCTTGCCCCTCTTGCGGGTCGATGTATTCTGGGTGCGGTGGAAGAGGTCTGCGTCCTGCTGATCGCTGGCACTGGCGGCATATTCGACGTAGAACTCGAAGACGCCCGCCGACTTGATCAAGAGATCGACGGTGTTGGACGAGGACGCGGACGAGGAAAAGAGGTAGTTGTCGAAGGAGGTGCGCTCGAATGTGGCACGCTTGTTGGAGTAGTTTGTGCAGAGGATGGCTTGCATGGAAGCGTCTGCGCCTGCTTCAATGGAAAAGCGGAGGATGTAGGGATTTACGGGAGCGGGCAGCCTGACATAGGACCTCTGCTGGCCTGGGCTGCCATCCTGCTTGAGCGGGAGTTCGAAGACCTTGATGGGTTGAGCGGGAGCCGCTTTGGCGGTGCCGTTCGTGGCGGTGCCGTTGGTGGCGGTGCTTGTGGGCGACATGGTAGAAGCCTTCTTCCGACCTACAAGCAGGGGAGGCTGGCGGCCGACGAGGTAGTGGTGCAAGCGGAGAGTGTCTACGATGAGAAAAGAGTGTGTGAAGGGATTGTTGTGGGACGAGGACCGCTCGAAGGGATGCTCGGGAAAGGGTGGGTAGAGAGAATAGCTACGAGATGGTGGTAGAGCGCAAGAAGAACCACGCAGGACCGTGATGAGGAGGAGACATGCTGTGCACTTGCCCCTGCCCTGCCTGGGAACGAGGCGTGAGGATGTGCTGGGGCATCACATCGCGTCTGTGCGTCGGCCAAATCTTCGCAACGGCTCGAAAATCGATAGCGGCAGCAGAGCAGAGCAGAGCACAGGAGAGCAGGGTATCGCACAGCGCGGGCCTCCACAAATCCCGAATCTCGCCCATCGCGCATCGCCCATCGCCCATCACTCGCGCGCGCCCCGCGTCAAGAGCGGATCGAGCAGCTGCAGCCGCTGCTGCAGCTCTGCTGCACCACAGTGGACGCCGTCACAAATCCGAAATCTTCGCAGCAATCACTCCGTCATCGCACAGAAGAGCAGCTGTCGGGCGATTCCCGCTCCAAGCACCGCGCGATCCGGCCTGCTGATCAGCTTACAAGCCACCTTCGCTTCTCCGCTGCCGAGACGCGACCCTGGCAAAGCTCCTCGCTTCCTCACCAGACCCTGCTGCTCTCTACCCCTCGTTGAGATTGATTGATTGATTGCCTTTCGATCCCCATCATTCATCACTCATCACTTCGCCTGGCCGGCCCGCCCATCCCACGTGCCCGTCGTCACTCGCGTGCGGTGTTCCTGCTCGACATCATTGCACCTAGTCTAGCACACGCGACGCAATGGCTGCCTGTCCCCGCAATGCTGTCCCGGTGGTCGCTTCTGCGTGGCAGTGAGCTGAACCGTCAGCCATGAAGACTCCCCAGCCCTGAACCGTACGTTCTGAATACTCAACCATGACTTCGCCCAAAGCGGCTCGCTCGTGCTGTACGAATTTGCGTTCGTAGTGCATGACACTTAACCTAGGTTAAGTGAAGTTACTTCACGCTCCGCAGCACGGCCACGTCAAATGTGTCCTCTAAAAAGCAAAGGCTGCCTTAGCATGCTCATAGCCTCAAACTGCGCTATTTTGAATCGCGTTGGCTATCGGCGATATGCACGCTAGCCGCCCCCTCAAGTCATGATTTTTCGAGTGACTATTGGCTCCAAACGGTGATTCAGATCATTCTCATTTGCCGAAATAAATTCCATCAGCGACACTGAGATTCGCTCGAATCACGCTTGTGTGTAAAATCTCAATGAAATACACCAACCCAATCCATGATTCTGTTCTTGGCAACCAGGCGGTGGCAGCCTGAGGGGGCTGGCATGCAAATGCTTCTATTCTGTCCGGAACGTGGTGGCTGAAGCTGCACATACGACTCATACAGCGAAATCTTCGAAGCATGTTGAAGTTTGCGTGAGCAAAATGTGCGAGGCAGACGACAGACGGAAAAGAGGTTGGATGCGATGGAGAGAATGTATCGAGACAGTCTGAACGTGTACACAAAGGACTCGTTGTTGCGTTCATCACGGAGCTCGACAAAAGCCAAGGATTCAAAGCGTCCGGCATTTGCAGCGGTGTACTGGATCTGAGGCACCTGCCACGTCAAGAAATTGATAGTGCGCTTGGGCACAGCGCCAGTCGTCACTCTAGCCAAGCCAAACGAGGATGGGCAAGAGGCAAAGCGCTGAGTGGGCTTGCGCTGCGATCCTTCCTTGGGGTGCGGCTCGTCATCGTCGCCGGTGAGATCCCTTTGTCACAAAGCATCAAGATCGAGGCATTTTTACCCTGGGGAAAGCGCACAGTTGTAGTTCAACTTACAATTCTAGATTCACGATCTATATCGCGAGCGACCCATCAGCGAAACAGGCCCATTTGTGAACCAAAACTCACGAGAATGATCTGGTGGACGGAACGTCAACGTTGCAATTGGGCACCCAAATGGCGACTGGTCATGCAGTTTCGATGATCTAGATTTGTGATTCAGGGTCTGACCCGTACGTGCAGATCTGGTGCGGACTTAGGTACAACAAAATCACGAAAGAAACGGCCAGAATCTCGCACGCTCTTGCCGTGACTTACTGAATTGAAGGGGCCGAGTGTGACGTGACCGTCGTTGCGATATCGAATCATGAATTTCGAAAAAGATTGCCACGGGCTGTGAATGCAATCTGATGATGTTATTATCTGCTGAGTATTCGAATTGAGTTTCACGATCGACGCGATAATCACGATATTGGGTCGATGTCAACCAGCGAAAGCGGATTTCTGTAAAAGCAACCTTATCAAGTCTTACATTAACGAAATGGCGGCATGCAGCTAAAAGGCGGCCACTTGCAACCACAAAGGTTTAATCCTTCAATCTCGGGAGAATGTGTCATTGACGCCAGTCGACGAGCTAAATTGTATTCCGACCGCGTCTCTACGGGCTGGGCAGGCGACCTGGAGCATAATCCACTCATCTGGCTCGGTGGTGATACCTGCGGTCGGCGGATAATGATGCGTGTTGTAAGATGCATTTCCCTAACCCTAAAAATTAACGTCGGCAACAGTATCTCGACGACAGTCGCAAGGCTGGGGCTGTCACCTAACAAAGCCCCTCTTATGCCTGGTAGAGAATTTTTTTCTTTTTTGGAATGCAGACCGAGTGAGTTACCAAGGTACTCAACTCAGCTTGGAGCTGATGCATGATTCATGATTCATGATCGACTTTATTAGGGTTCCCGCGCGGTGGGAAGTACTAAGCCTTGGAGAGCTTCCAAAATCACAAGTCAGTCACAACCTAACGAAGGCGTCGCTGGCTGACCTCTGACTGGGTTAGGCGGTCAGCATTTTTTCAGGATATAATAGTGAAATTGGGTCATGAGATTGCATATGGATTTGAGCACAAGCCAGCGAAAGCGGAGCGAGCCCTAATAAACAAACGTGAATAATAACTCACGAATTCGGTGCCCGCGTGGTCAGCGAGGCGATTACGAATTAGGGACCAAGTTTACTCATGTTTCTGGTTTCAGACGTTCCCAAAAAATCATGAATCATATATGTTTCGCTTCCGGCTGCATGGCGCTTGTCCTCCTCTGCTTGCGCTCACACTAATCAATAATGAACATTTATGATCCTTTCAATGATTTCTTTCGCGGTCGATCTTGGCTGACCCGTCACACAGCATGTCAAACTATGATCGCCTAATCGTGGATTCGCGGACTTAAAACATTGCTTCTCCACAGCTCAAGTCAATCAGCTAGAGGTGTTGGCTCGTGTGTAGAGCAGACGTGGCTCATGGCTGGCTCAGCGGCTCACTAGAGAATCTCGGAGACGGTTTGGATCATCAACGTGAATCATGACTGTAGCAGAGTAAGCTCACCTACGATTTTTTTGGCGCAATCACGACTGTTCGAGGGCTTGATTGACGGCTAAGAACCCCTCTCGCCTTGGCCATGCGATCATCAATAGCGCACTGTTCGGCAGGTCTTTCACCTAATTTACCTGAGATGGGCAGGGTTGCGTAGCTTCACGCAACTCATTGATAAGCACCACTCACGACTGCGCGCAGGTGCAAAACAGGCACGAAGGTCTGGCAGCATTACGGAGCCACAAGAGAATCAAGTCGTTATTGACAGGGGTGCCTATGCCTTTGCGGTGAAATGCTGGTGAAAAAGAACGGCAAAATGAATGGAATCGACCGAATCACGAGGGCCTGTCAACCGCCGGAGTTGGATAGCGGCCGAGTCACGAGGGCAATTGGCATGGGATCTTCGTTATCGCCAAATTGCAACAGTCGGATGAAACGCCGGCATTTTCGGCAGATACCCTCCGTGAAGAGCTTACAAGCGAGACTTCGACATGCAAACCATACTGTAACTCGAGCCGAGCACGGTCGGAACAGAGTCTCCCGCACCTCCGGCGGCATCCTAGTTGGTACCGAAGGCCGTGCCGTGCCGTGCACACGCGCTTATACGGCAGGACAAGCTCGGCGAGCCAGGTATAAGTAGCCTGTTTCGGGGGGTGACCTCACCCTTGCTGTGCCCTCCAACTTACAGCATCGTTGATAGATTTCGTCTTGGTGCGCATAGAAGTCATGATTGCACGATCCTTGGTCTTTGCGCTCGTCACTGCGCTTCAGCTCGCGGACGGAGCGGTGTCGCAATTCGTCAAGCCACCCACGGATCTGCAGACGGCCACGGGCCATCTCGACATCCCTGTGCGGTACAAACAAGTCCCCACTGGCATCTGCGAGACCGACCCGAACGTCAAGAGCTTCTCGGGCTACGTCGACGTGGAAGAGGACGAGCACATCTTCTTCTGGTTCTTCGAAGCGCGCAACGGTTCACCCAAGGACGCGCCCCTGACGGTGTGGATCAATGGTGGACCCGGCTCATCCTCGATGATCGGACTGTTCCAGGAGCTCGGACCGTGCTCTGTGGATTCGAACGGCACCGTGGTCAACAATGCGTACGCATGGAACAACGCGAGCAACATGATCTTCATCGACCAGCCCGCCACCACAGGCCTGTCGTACACCAAGCTGGTTCCGGGCTACGTGAATCCGTCCACTGATAGCCTCGTCGTGCTGCCGGACGAGACTTGCCCCGAGTATGCGCAGGACTTTGGCACATGCGGCACCTACTCTGCGCCCAACGTCACGCTGACGGCCAACTCGACCGAGTCGGCGGCCAAGAACTTCTACCGCACGCTCCAGGGATTCATGGGTGCGTTCCCGCAGTACTCGCGCGAGGACTTCCACTTTGCCACCGAGTCGTACGGCGGCCACTACGGCCCTGTCTTTAACGAGTACATCGAGCAGCAGAATGCTCACGCCGCGCACAAGATCAAGCTCAAGTCGGTCATGATCGGCAATGGCTGGTACGACCCTGCGCTGCAGTATGCAGCCTACTACAACTTCACCGTGTCGCCGGGCAACACGTACGATTACCGACCGTTCAACTCGTCGGTGGAGGAGATGATGTACAACAACATGTTTGGCAGCGGCAACTGCCTGGATCAGATTCGAGACTGCTACGCAACGGGTACGAATCAGGTGTGCAGCACCGCCGACACATTCTGCGCCAACAATGTCGAATCCATCCTCGCCAACCGCGACGAATACGACATCCGCGAGCTCTCGCCCGATCCGTTCCCATACAGCTTCTACGTGGACTACCTCAACAAGCCCGAGGTGCAGGCGGCCATTGGCGCGTTCCAAAACTTTAGCGAGAGCTCTTCGACGGTCTCGAACGCCTTCAGCACTACCGGCGACGACGGACGCGAGTCTGGCACGATCGAGGATGTGCGTTCGCTGCTCGATCAGGGTGTGCAGGTGGTCATGTACGCCGGCGACGCCGACTACAACTGCAACTGGCTCGGCGGTGAAGCTGTCGCCGAGCGCGTGCAGCACAAGGGCTTCGACCAAGCCGGTTACGCGGATCTCAAGACGTCCGACGGCGTTGCTCACGGCCAGGTCAAGCAGAGTGGCCAGTTCTCCTTTGTGCGCATCTACGAGAGCGGCCACGAGGTGCCTTTCTACCAGCCCCTAGCGTCGCTCGAGATGTTCGAGCGCATCCTCAATGGCACGGATCTCGCCACGGGCACGCGCAAGGTCTCCAAGGGTAGCAGCTACACGACGAACGGACCGGCCAAGAGCACGTTCCGCGAGGGCAACGCTACGGTGCAGTTCGAGGTGCTGCCTGCCGACGCCACATACAACCACACCACGAATGCGCCCAACAAGAGCAGCAGCAACACCACCACCAGCATGCTTGGCGAGTTGCGCCAGGCTGTGCGCACTGGCGAGATGTTCCGCGCGCGCTATTCGTCGCAGCGCCTGTTCAAGCTGTGATTGCGTTAGAACACTTCACTTGACGCGGAGTAGAGTCGATCGTAGAAATGCGACCAAGATCAAGCTCGGCCTGAAAGCATGGCAGCGAAGCCTCGACGGTGAGGTTGTAGGCGGACGATAATTCATGAGCCGAGACAAGGACCTGGGTCTCTGTTGTTGTGCAGAAGGAATCAAGGACCTTCGAGGTTGGAGGGTGAGGTCATGGCTGGCTCATTCTGGAGAGTACAGCGGCCACCGCGGGGGAAGCCGAAGACTAAAAAATTTCGGAACTCGGATTTTGCCTTTGCCTCGGGTGCGGCAGGGAATGCCACAAATCTTCCCGAATCCCTCCCTCTCTTGACCACCAACCCTACGCCTCCATCCTCTTCCCACCTTGCATCGCTGCTTCGAAGATGGCTGTCAAGTCCAAGGCACGGTAAGATACGCCTTCCATGATCCGCGATGGTCCGGGATCGCAAAACTTCACACCAACACTTTTGGCTTCTACAGTGTCGTGATTGCCCGTCTGGTCTCTACGGCAGGCACCGGATTCATGTACACCACTCGCCGCACACGAGTGGCCGACAAACTCAGCATGATGAAGTACGACCCCAAAGGTAAGCACTCACCAGAGAACCTTCTGCAGTGCAGTTCAGAGGGGATCGAGCTGACACAGGTGCCTCCTCCGGACAGTCCGAAAACACGTCCTGTTCAAGGAAACCAAGGGCTCAAAGTAAACACAGATACCAACACCTCAATTGCATGACACACACACTCTTCCAAATCTGCTGCGACTGTTTCCGCTTGCTGCGAATCAAGGCTGGATTGACGTGGGATTCTCAGATCTACGCTGGCATCGTGCGGACGACTCGATCAGAAATTGTCAAAGAAGAGCAGGTCGTCGGCAGTCAGCGCGCCGCTTGCGTTTGGTTTCGCAGCACCCTGTTTCGCCGAAGCCACTGGCTGCGCTGGCACCGCTTTTGGTGCGCTTGGCTGGGGCGGCGGTTCGCTGAGGAATTCGGCAAACGGATCTGCCGCTGCCGTCGGCTGTTGCTGCGCGCTACCATAGCTCGGCGACTGCACGCGAGGCGAAGCCGTGCTGACGCGCGGAGGCGGTGCGATCGACATCCTCTTGCCCTGTCCTGTCGGTGGAGGCTGCAGCGGCGAAGCGGCGCCTTTGCGCGCTAAGCTGTTCGCGCGTACCAAGTTGGTGGTAATGGTCATCATGCCGCCCTCGCCACTGGCGCGCTGCGCAGACAAGCTCGACCGCGCTGAGGACGGTGCGGCAGGACTTGCCGACGAACCACCGACCTGAGGAGTGGCCGGGCCAAATAGCGCATCAAACGGATCGGGTGGTGGCGACGAGGCGTTGGGGCGAGTATGCGACGGTGGAGGCACGACGTTGCGGTTCTGAAACGTGTCGAACGAGTCTTCGCCCACCTCGTCGTAGCGGTACTTATGAGATGGACTATCGCTGCTCTCCTGCTCGTCGAGCCAGGCGAGGTCGTCGCCCTTCATGGACGCAGACGCCCAGCTCGGATGCGCCTTCTTGGTCGACGACTTGAACAGGCCGCTATTTCGCCACCTGCTCAGAAGTCCAGCACCTGCAGCGGGAGCCGCAGCACCTGCGGCGGACGATGCGGGGGCCGAGGCAGGCGGGGGAGGTTGGTCGAGCGACAGTAGGTCAGGACCGGTTGGATCGTCCGTGTACTTGCTGCCAGCCTCGTCCTGGTAGGAATCAAACTGAGGCGCAGGTGACATGGCTCCGCGGCTCGAGCTCGTGGACGTCCTCGCATCGTTCGATTGCGCCTTGGGTGGTTGCGATTGGTTCAGATCGGGAGAGCTTGCGGCGGTCTCTGAGCCTGCTTGGCGACCCTTGAAGAACGAGGCCAGAAAGCCTGGCCCAGACGTGGAGCGCGAGTCGCTACTGGACGTCTGTGTCCATCCTGGGCCAGATGTGCGGGTCGCCGCGCTCTCGGATGAAAGTCTGGTTTGACCCGATGATGCTCCGGCATCGTCCGCCAGCATATCGGGCAGCCAGCCAGCCTTGGTGATGGGCCGAGCGCCTCTCTGCCAGCTCGCGTTGTGGTCAGGAGCGACGAGCTTGACGCCTCGATTTTCGGTGCTGGCCATTGATCCGCGCACGTGCGTGAGCGTGGTGGGGCTGGACTGCATGACGTCCAGACGCAGCGCACCACTCGAAGACTGGAGAGCTGATGGGGGCGACTGGAGGTGGTGCAGTTTGTCGCGTTGTGATCCCTCGCTGCCAAACAGATCTGTCCATCCGCCCTGGCTGACGCTGGGGCTGGCAAAGCTGGCCTGCGTGTCGCTGTCGGTGTTGATGCTGGCGATGAGCTTTCGAGCGTCCGACTTGAGTTGATCGATCTCCTCCCTGTCGAGATGCCGCGCCTTCTCCTCGCGGGATGAGGCTTCTGCCGCCCACACGTCAATGTTGGTGCCAGATGCCTCCTTTTGCTCGTTCGAGTCTGCATCGAGTGACGAGTCGTTCAAACCGAAAGAGCTAGGACCAGGTTGTGCATCTGCGAGGTCCGTTGATGACAATCGAGATTCGAGGGAGTCGCCTTGACCGAAGCTGGTCGAGGGTGGTCCCCAACCGCTGGAATCGGCATCTGGATCAGCGAGTGTGGAGATAGAAGGTCGGAAAGTCGGTTCCGCGGCGCCCCAGTCGCTGGAAGAGCCTGCGCCCCATGGGTCGTGAGAAGAGCTTTGCTCACCAGCAGCGGAGGTTTGGAGGTCGTTGCCAGGCGGTGGCTTGAGATTGGACGCTGACGGAGCTGTAGGTACGTCTGATGGAGCGCTTGTTGGGAACGCATCGTCTCCCCAAGCCGAGAGTGTCTGCATGGGGCTCGAAGGAGCAATGTACTTTGTCGCCTCATGGTCCTGAGATTGCGTCTGGTGAGACGGCGATTGGTTTGAAGATGAGCTCGACTTCTCTGTCGGTTGAGGAGTCGCAACGTCGGTCGACCAGGGATCGGATGCGTCAAAGGTTGGAAGCGGTGGAAGTGCGAGAGGGGGCGCCTTGTTGTCAGCGTTTACTACGGACGACGATGCGGCGGGCTGTGCGACACCATCGTCGTCATTCCACGGACTCGACCAAGCGTCCATGTCAATGCAGCCGCGCAGTCGAGCCTCGACGATGCCTCCTCGGAAGTGTATGGAATGCCAAGAGGAGGTTGGGTGGAAGGTGCATGTGCGATATCCAACCTGGCTTCGGGATTCGGCTTTGGTCTGTGCCCGAGACTTGTGCCAAATCACGCCTTCCTCCACAAAGTCACAGTGGTTGGCGAGCGGATCCACGCCGAAAAGTGGTCGGAATCCTGCCGAATCACAGTCAGCTTGCCTCTGCTCGAGACCACCATGGTCATCCTTCGTATCGTCCATCTCCCACGATGACAAGTCTGATCACACTGGTGGACCGGCTCGACTGCAATCCAAGCCAAGTTGCCATCCAGGCTTTGACAGATTCGGAGCTCCCCGCGCCCGAAGTCAAAGCGTACTCGGATGTCGTCTATCACAACTATCGCTCCTTGGGGCTGAGTCTGCAGTGTGAGTCCATCTCGACAGCTTCGGAATGCCTACCTTAGCTAAAGCCTAACGCACCATGATCGGCAGACGAGTCCAGCTCGAGCGGAAAAGCTGCCTCCAAGTGCGACGTGCACGACCTGCGTCTGGCTGCCATCGACGTCTACTCTGCCAGGGACGACAAGAGCTGGACCTGCTTCCCACGCCTGCCAATCCAGGTCGACCTCCTCCCACTGGATCAGGCGGATAAATCCACCTCAATAACGCTCGACTCGACGGGCAAGGACCTCGTCTCTTCGTTGGGCGAACCCCATCGCAAAGGCGGCGGCGCCAACGATCGCGCTGGGCCTGCAGCCTGGCTCGAATGGTCCCTCGACATTCAATCGAATGGCAAAGCAACACCCGTCAAGCTCCAGGTCGAGCTTAACGGCACAGGCGCACGCGGAGCGGATCGCTGGAACGCCGACCGCGCCGGCTCCTGCCCATGGTCCGTCATCAACATCAGCAGGAAATAAATACACTGCGGACACACTGAGATCGAGAATGACTTGGAATTTCTGCGACTGCGCCTTAGCTCTGGCTGAGCGAGAGCTCCTTTTGAATCTCGCCGATGCGGCTCTTCCACCCTTCCACCTCGGCCATCTTGCGCTCCAGGTCTTCGATCTCGTTCTCCATGCTCAGCTGCTCGGTCTCGGCGCCAATGTAGTCGGTCTCCCACGCGCCCTCCTCGCCCGTGAGTCGCAGCAGCACCTCGTGGTACTTGAACAACGACGGACGATGCGAGATCGTGATGAGCGTGATGCCCAGATCCTTGGCCTTGGCATACATCAGCCCCTCGACGTCCGTCGACACGGCACTCGTGCACTCGTCCAGGATGCCGAAGCGCGGCTGGTGGTACAGCAGACGCGCCATCCCCATTCGCTGCTTCTCGCCGCCCGACAGCACATCCTTCCACTCCTTGCGCGTCTCCCAGCCGCCCTCGCGCGACGGCAGGTACGCCAGATGCACGTCCTTGAGGATCGCAAGCAGGTCCTCGTCCGTCTTGCCGCTCGCCACATGCTCCGGGTACGTGTACGGGTAGATGACCTGCTCGCGCAGACTGCCCACCGAGAGGTACGGTCGCTGCGGCAGGAACATGATGTCGTTGATCGACGGACGCTCCATGCGGCCCTGGAACACCGGCCACAGACCTGCAACCACACGCGCAATCGCCGTCTTGCCCACACCGTTAGGGCCCGTGATGAGCACGTGCTCGCCCGGCTTGACGCGCAGCGTGAGATCGCGCACCAGCTCTTCGCCTCCGCGCTCCAGCCCGGGTGCAGGCGCGACGATGGGCACCTTGTCAAACGCAACCGTGTCGCTGCCCACCACCACCTCGCCCTGGATGTGGCCGAGGTCGTAGAAGGGCTTGTCGGCAGCAAGCTCGACTGGACGAGGCATGGACTGGTACTGCTCCTTGTTGAGCAGGTGCAGCGTCGAGATGAGCGTGTAGACGCGGCTGGTGAAGCCCGCCAGCTCGGCGAGTTCCTTGTAGCTGTACATCAGTCGGCTTCCTGCATCGGCGAGCGAGAGCAGCAGACGACGGTTGGAGATGTACGACTCGGTCTTGGACGCCACCGTGCTGTCCACCACCTCTCGCTTGGGCGCCGGCGCGTCCACGGCGTCAGTCTTGGGCTGCTTGTTGCCAAACAGGAAGGGCGCGGCGATGATGACGTAGCCCGCCGCGGACCAGGCGTACTTGAGCACAAAGTCTTCAGTCATGTTGAAGGCGACGCGGATCTTGAAGATGCTGTTGATGTGGCGCACGAGGCGAATGTAGGCGCGATTCAAGATACCGGCCTCGATCGAAGCACCATTGTAGAAGGCGATCTCCTCTGCGTTGGTGATGAGCCTGCTGTGCGCCGAGCGGAAGTCGCCCTCGAGCTTGGCCTCGATGGCGGCCAGCTTGCCGAAGGCCGGAGTGACCTGTCGCAGAATCCAGCCGGTGAAGAGGTAGTTGGAGGCGAGACCGAGCACGCCCATGGGACCGAGGGATCGGCTGAGCGCATAGTTGAAGATGATGAGATCGAGCACAGGCTTGGACACGTTCGAATAGAGCGCGGCGAGCGTCTCGCAGAATCGGGCAATGTCGGTGGTGATGTACTGGTCGGCGGCGTCGAGACGGCCGTCGAGGTTGACGATGCGGTAGAAGTTGGCCTTGTCGTTGAGGTAGAGGTCGTGGACGTAGCGTGTGAGGCGTGTGCGGAAGCCGATGGCGAGTTTTGACTGGAGGAAGCGGATCATGGAGTTGGTGTAGGTGGAAGGGATGCCGAGCAGGAACCAGAGACCCAGGCCTCGGAGGAAGCCGCGACCGTTGGCAGAGACGAGGTCACGCACGATGACACCGTCGAGGCGTGCGACGAGCATGGAGAGGTAGGTGCGGAGGACGAGGAAGGAGGTGTGGAGGAGGAAGATGAAGACCTCCTTGCTGTTTCTGCGCGGGATGAGGATGCGGAAGATGGCCTTGAGCTGGCGGAAGAACTCCTTGTTGACGCCCACCTTTTTGGCGGTGGCGGCTGCTGCGCCGCCCTCTGCGCGCATGGCCTTGGCATCCTCGATCTGGGAGCGCTTGCGGTCGTCGTCGCTGAGATTCTTCTTTTTGGCGTTGGCGGCGCCGGTGTCCGAGGTGGGAGGGAGCTTGCGGAAGACTGCGTAGTCGGCATCAAAGGTGCTCGCCTTGGTAGGCTTGATGGGCACCTTGGAGACGCGCCCGCGGTTGGGAACGAGCAGGTCGCGGGAGCCGTCGGGCTTGGGCACGTAGACCTGCTTGAGGGCGTCTGCGACGTCGAGGTTGGAAGAGCCGGAGCGTGTGCTGGCGAGCTTGCCAAGGTTGCGCTGATGGAGCCACTCGGTCAGACGCCTGCGGAGCGAGAAGAGCAGGAGGAGCGCGACGAGTCCGAGGCCTTGCTTGGCGCGTTGTTGCGGGGAGAGGAGCTGTGCGAGCCAGCCAGCATGTGAGGAGGCATCCTGGCGGAGCTTGGACTGGACCGCCATGATGTAGCGCGGTCTTGAAGGCGTCGTACCGGTCGATCTCTGCAGCTCTTTGTCGCCTTCTACGAGGACGGAAGAGGTGACACGAAATGTGTTGCTTCTCCGCTTGGCAGGACCGCTGTGCACACCCCTGTCGGCAGCTGTAGGCGATGTGCGTGTCGGGACAACAAAGGGTTGTGAGACAGTCGCCTTTCTACGCAGCAGACGATGTCGACGAGTGGGGCGAGGCGAGAAGCGTAGCCTGAGTTGTGATGGACCAGGAAGATGGTGGACAGCAAGACTGGCAGTCGGTCGGTGCCTCCGCCCTGACTGGCACCGGCCCTCGAGCGCCCGCCAACCCGATTGCCGGCAGCAGCTGGCGATGACCAAGATTCCGCCTCGAGAACAGCACATCGACGCGTGTGGGACCCGGATGCTCGTTTCCTGATAGCGCGCTGAGAGACTGGAATTACGCCTCGCGCCCGCTGATGCACACTCTGCAGCCAAAAGCGCCGCTTTCACGATCCAGATCCGGCGCAGAAAAACGGCACTTTCCACGCTGCTGCCGATTCCAACCTTCGCTTGTGCTGGAATGGCCATCGGGTACACCAGTCCCCTAGGCCCGATTCATACGATCCACCTCGTGTGGATGCCAGGAGAGCTTGACCTAGTCGAGAAGCCTCTCGATAAGCGCAGGGGTTCGTGCAAAGTCGACGTTGCTCCTGCAATCTGCTGCCAAGCCGAAACCTGCTAAATGTGGTGGTGGCTTGGACTGCATCGGGGATGGAAATTGGCACTTCTGCAATGCATTCGTGCTAAAAGCCATGAAAAATAAAGAAAATGAACGAAAAAGATGGCGTCGAAAATCAGCTTCGGACGGGATCACCGATAGGGATGGGGATGATGCACCCGATCCTGCCTCCTGTCAAAAGCTGCGGACCGACCTAGCCACTGCCTCCAGCAGCCATGCACGCCAGCTTCGCATGTGAATGCCGAGCGACAGCAGGCCAGCTCGAACCACGCTGCAGAGTCTCGCAACAGCTTCCCTGCGAAGGAAGCAACCGCCTCTACCAAGAGAAGATGGTACCAGCGGTTCCGAGCTGAAAAGAGAAACTTCGCACCGTGCCGGATCACCAAGTCACGGGCATGCTGCGCCGGGCCTTACACGGGCTCGAGCGCCAAATGTTCCCACACAACAGCGGTGCCTGACACCAAGCGCAAGTCGCGATGACCGCGAGGCACAAGCCATTATCCGCACTGCCCTGCGAACGGCTCGAGCGCTTGCACGTAGGCTCGCAAAAGCACAGGCCGCCGGAGCGTGCCATCTCCGCCGCGCAGTGCGCATTCCATCTAAGACGCCCTGACCAGGCACCAAACGATTTCGAGGCGTTGCTGCCGTGAGGCTGATCGCAAGGGCCTGCGGGCCCGCGGTCGGCGCACAATACACAAATCGACATCCGCAACGCCGGGTCCGCCCGGAAACATGTGAGAACGGAAGCACATTCTTGGAAATTGTCGACATGCTACTAAAGCGTGCAAGCAAGTCTCGACCAAGACAACGTGCCGTTTGCCACGAGAAGGAGGGTTCAAGGACACCGAGCGCGCATTCAAACCCGGCCCAAGCGTCCAGAGGCGTTCGGCTACCGGCATGCTTTGGTTGTCGAGTCGGACCCGAGTCGGCTCGCCTCGCTCGTCGCTGACTGCGCTTCGGCGTCCAAATCATCGGCGCGAACGGCAATGTACCACCAAAAGCACGCACGCCTCTACTGACGTGAGACAGGCCAATATTACGAGACGACTCTCGGCGAAAAGAGCGAGCCCAGTAGGAGTGCTTTGGTGGTGCTCCTTGCATTCGACAATTGGTTCTCCAGTACAGTAGTCGGCCACGTCGGTCCCGACGTGTCTCTCAGAGCACTCAAACGGGACATCGATCGATCTATGATGGTGCCGTCCCTTCGATCAGTGGTTCCGCTCAAAGGATCAAGGGGTCTTCGGGAGCTACATTTTCGACTACTCCAGATTTCCGCGGCGCTGCAGCGGAGACCCTGACGATGTCCATGGAAAAAAAA